AAAAAAAAAAAAAAAAAAAAAAAAAATTAAAAAAAAAAAATTTTTTTTTAAAAAAATAAAAAAAAAAAAAAAAAAAAAAAAAATTCAACACCACTTTTCTTAGTTCTATCTCTATACACTCTATCTTAGATATCTTATAATGAAGTTCATTTGCAGATCTGAAAACTAGATCTCCTATACACAAAAAATACTGTACGGATTAGAACTTCTGGGCATATAGTGTTATCACCTTGTAAATCTCTCACTGGCTTGTTAAAAAGGAGAGATAACAAAAAGCCACACTGGAAGGCACTTAAATTTATAGAGAAATGGCAAATTAAAAAACAGAAATTATATCACAGTTTCCCATCTCCTATGTCATCATTATCTGACTTTTTGTGACAGTGCTATTATTTTTTTTGTCAAATTTAAAAATAAAATTACTTCTATCTGACTTGCTTCTTTGACTTAAACAAAATACAGAATTCATAACTTTTTGTTTGTATTTTCCTATCTAGCTTTTATTCCCAGGTCAAACATTCAAAAAGTGGGACAGCTCTAAAATAAATATGCACCATTATTTCAAAGGTTTTCAATATCCTCTCACCCTCTGCCCCCCCTTTTTTTTTTCTCCAAAAACCAATACCTGATGACTGTTAACCAGCTATCATTCATGTCATCTTTTATTTGCAATTTGTCAGCGATGATAATGATGAGGAAACATTTCTCTACAAAAAGACAGCCAAATAAATGGTTCACCGTATAAAATTCGTGATTTAAATTAAGTCAATAAAACTCACGAATTAATTCTTGCACGCAAATAAAAGTTGGTTTACAGTAAATTGTATATAACATGTACTGTTACATCTGATTTCATTTTCTTAGCAGTTTTCACAAATTCATTCATTGATCATTCAATGCTGAAATCAATATTATGAACACATTTTTTTTTTCAGTTAAAATTATACTAATACAAAACCAGAGAGAGAGAGAGAGAGAGAGAGAGAGAGAGAAAGATAGAGAAAGAGATTCTCCAGCAGTTAACATATAATCAATGCTTGCATAAAAACACCACTATCACCTGAGCATTTCTGCTATCTGTCAGAAAATGAAGATCTCCCTTTCATGGAAACCAAATATTTACAAATTGAAATCAATTTTCACCTCTGATAAGAGTGCACATAACAGTCTAGACATTTACAGATTGTGTCAATAAAGGAACAGGTCATCTAAATGATCTTATAAACAAACAGTCACAAATCATCTACAGAAACTCTACCAGTAACCTACCAAGAGTGCATGTGAATTAAAGACTTCATTTTATAAGACAACTCCAAATGTAAGCAAGCGAACTTGATTAGGTATACATACAAACTAACAGCTATTAAATCTCATTGGTATACTATTAAGGTATTAATTTAATTCAACACTGTACAAAATATGTTTAAATGAGAGTACAAATGTATAACCAGCCAGGTTACAACTGTAAGACTAGGTATTAAATAGCATAATTATTTAAAAATACACATATCTAATTTCGTCAACACAATAAATGTAGTACACTGGATTTTTTACAAATGATTTTTTGTTTTGGTTAATACTGGGGGTGTTTACTCCTCCTAGGCACCTGATCCCACTTCTGGAATTTCCTAGGGTCTGTGTTTTATGCCCTTGTCACAGATTTTTATTAAGAAATGAATTTAATTTTTGAAGATTCATGATGTTACGAACTACGACGCTTCACGCCGGCATATTTCATGAAGCGCGTTAACGTTTTATGATAAATATGCCGGCGTGAAGCGTTGTAGTTCATATACCTCATGAATCTTCAAAAAACTAAATTCATTTCTTATATTTACATTATTTTTCTGATGACTTGCCATAAATTTACGCAGTTCAACTGTCATTTTTAAAACAAACGGGTGAAACACAATATAGAGTGCATTAAGAATATCACATTGTTATACATGATTTTAAGAAATGTTATTTTCTTTACATGTAATTATCATGACTCATTTATGGTAATACTTATAAAGGACTTACGTGCAAAATTTTGTTGATCTAGCCTTAACAGAATTGAAGTAAATGCAAAAAATATACCCAAAAAATGACTTTTTTCAGCGTTATGCGGTTGCACTTTGAAATTAGAGCATTTTGCAATTGAAATATTTGTTAAATAACATAAATTTTTATGCCAATGATCATTATCAGAGTTTAGAATTTATTTTACAAATTATTTTGTTGCTTGAATTTTCAGGATTGAATAACAACTTTGGAAGATATGAAAGAAAATGTAATAGGGGTGCAATGTTATATATTTTTCACATATTTTTACTCCTCTCATTATGCCAAATAAAAATAATGTCCAGATCATTTATTTTTTCAGATTTCTGTCTCAAATCACAGTATTAATGCTCTCTTACTTACCAAAAAAAGTTGGGTTAGGTAACCATTGTAATGAAATTTCACAATGCTTTTATGTAGAAAATTAAAGTTTTTACAAAAAACTGTAGTGTCCGTAACCACTTAAATTCTGTGAAATTGGAAGGCTCAATAAATATCTTAACTAATTTCCTAGATAGACATCTCATACAGATGCTGAGATGTGTTGTAATTTTCCTGATCATCACCACTGTTTCTCTGGTATCATCACAAATGTGGTTATGGACACTATAAAATCCTGTAGTGTCCGTAACCTGTACTTGAGGCAGTTTGAAACAGACTGTTTAAAAACACTAACCCTAGTCTATTCACAAAGGTCAGGGGTTTGTTGAACAAGTTAATCAATGTACTTTATTTTTCTCCCTCATTTTGATAAAGCAACTTATTTGGGAAACCCAGATTGCACCATTTCCATATACAAGATCCTCTGTGTTACATCACCTTGATATTGGCAGATGCTATTGACATCCTAGGATTTAAGTCAAATAGCATGTCATTATTTTTTAATTGTTTAACTCAACTAGTATTACATTTAAGAAAATCTTGTTGGAATTCCTCTATTTAAGATTGTAGTGTCCGTAACCAAAAGTTGTAAAATGAAATCTTTATTTTTTTTGCTCCACAAAAATTACAGATAAATTTTTGAAGCAGTGTATTGTATATTTAGAGATAAAAATGTGTTTATTAGCTGGAATTCTTTTAGATCATGTGTTTTTTTTTTTACTGCAAGTACTAAAATAATGACTGGACACCCACAATGACGTAAAAATAGTTAAAAAATCTTTATCATGAGTTACATAACCCATATTTTTGGGGATATATTGCTTCAATTGTCTAGTTGCTTATTAGGTACTATCTTAAAATGGGTTAAATGCAAGTAAATTTGCATTCAAAATGTTAAACAGTGGAGAAGTAATGCGGTTACGGATACTACAAAACATTTCAAAAAAGAAAACAACTAAAATTACACCAATTTCAGATTTAGTATTGCATATTTAACTGTTTGAAGAAAAATAGATTGCTTCACAGAATAAAAAAAAAATTAAAGAAGTATTAGTGAGCTTTATTCTTTAAGCTTTGACTTTTCTACTTGCACATAACATCTGTATAAAGTTACAAGACTAGTGTATATATTTATTCAAAGTATATTGGTTATGGTATGCTTTTATCAGATGAAGTTGAGATCTGAAGAATAAAAAAAATTCGGAAGATACTGAAATGCGAAATGAAATGCTGAAAAAAAGTTAGGAAAAGGGCTGAAAAACAAAAACTTTATCCTCTAGCCTGTGAAAAATTTAAGTATTGCGTAGTGTCAGTAACCCTTAATTTTGACTAATTGACTTTGTTGATCAGTGTACCTACATTCTAAATAGTTTTCATAAAACGTTAATGAATTAAAGAACTTTTCTTCTGCACTTCAGTTGTATTGTTATGTGAAAAAAGGAAGTTTCTGAATTTCCTAAACTGGATTTTTTTCCTATTGGCATTAGTTCTGCAATTAAATTGTTTTTACTTGAGACAATATCTAACTTTCATGCACTTTGTACTAAATAATCATTTAAATCTGATTTCTAATAGTTCAGAAGTTTACAAAATGTTTTTTTTTACCACAAATCAAAAGCCAATCATAAATATTTGGGTCTTGTAGTGTCCGTAACTTAATGAAGCTATCAAATTATTCTAGAAAATTTATCAGAATTAAATTTCCTATTTTAATGGAAATATTTATATTTCAACAAAGGCATTAAAAGTGTTATTTATAAATAGTTCTTTCTTTATTTATATTGGTTTTAAAGAGTTCACATATATTGAAATACTACCATTTTAAACAAAAATGTACGATGTAAGAACTGTTTTCATTTTAAACTATAATGCCACCTTTTTTAGTCCAATTTTTGTTCATATTTTATAGTTGTTTGTTTGTGAGCAGTTGAAAAAATTAAAGTTCATAAACAGTTTTCAATATTTATTTCAAAGAAAACAACACTTGTAGTGTCCGTAACCTGTAAAAATGAGGTTATTATCAACTTGTAAAAAACAAAGCTGTAATGTGAATTTCACAAAACCGTTTATGTTTCAGATCCTTGAGATACTCTACTTTTAGAAAAAATACTTTTGGGGCAAAATAAAGACATTAATTTTTTACCCCCAAGCGCAACCTTACTGTTCCCTTTATTGTGTTTCACCCGAAAGCAATGTGCACTATATTTTTTGACTTTTTGACGTCAAGAGCGGTATTATGACGTAACAATGGAGATATTCATGCTGATTCGTGATACAAACCTAATGTAGTTCAGAGAAAATATACTGCATTTTATTTTGTAAAGAATCATAGGGGAAATTTATTGGAAATGTAAATATTTGTAAATAAATTCTTTTCTAGATTGTTCACTGAGAACTATGAATCACAACCACTTGTCTCTTATATCATTAATACAGGTCACCCATTATTTATTTAAATATAAGTAGAGGGTATCCTGTATATGAAACAAGTGCCAATACTACATGTATCCAATTAAGCTCTTATAGATTTTCAACAATAAAAAAATTACACAAAAGACAGCATAAAAACGACTTACTGATTTTCCTCAAGCATATAGATACTTCATACAATCCTTGATGCCCTTCAGACTTATCTGCAATGAGAATTCAAATAAAGTATCGGTAGTGTCCTCTTTTCAAATAATTTTTTTTTTACAGTACATGGCCTAATTTTGTGATGAGAACAAAAGCACAAACACAACAGAAAAACAAGGTAATGCACACTAAGAGACTGCTTACACACAATTACCCTGTGCGTGAGGATTTTAACAAATTTCGTACTGCTAGCTTACACCCCTGGAATATATTGTGCACAGTAACAACAATATCAAGTTGCGTGATCCCTGATCAAAAGTGACTGGAGCAATAAATCAACTGTAAGCAGTGGCTTCTGAGACAGGAGAAATTCCGAGACCTATAAACAACTGTATAGACTTCCTCCTAATGTCCTGGCTTAGTGTTCAAAATCAATAGTGGTTTGATATAAGCCATGACAGTCCCATCCTAATATAACAAGGTTTACTTATCAGATTAATTTACATTATAACTGAAAACATTTTTTTACTTGTTTAAATACTGAGATCAGACAATGCATGTATCTATGTTCAGCATACCTAGCTGTTTGGAACATAATTGCACAGTGCAAAATACGTAAACAATTTTGCTGTCAATTTGTTACATAAATAAAGGGGAAATGTGCTCTTACCTAAAAAAATCTATGTCAACAAACACTGCAATTCCAGTATTTAGTAATGACAATCATTTCATTATGGCGAGCTGTGGTTTAATTAAATTTAGATATGTGCACTGCCAGGGCCCCATTGTGGGGTCTGGTTTTTCAGTTTTTGATCATGATTGAAAGGAACAACAAATACAGTACAGGTAAAACAGAGAAAAGACGGCTACCTGTCAGGCGACATCAATCAAACATCAAATGAGAGATCTGCCAATCCTTACCTGCTTACAAAACAAAAACAGGTGTCACCTCTATTCATCACATCCAATGATCAGTTGTAAAGAAATCCCAAAAAACATCTCTAGAACAGACTGAAAAAAGAGAACACACCAATAACAAGGGGTCACTTCAAGGAAAAAATTATTAGCTTGCCCGAGTTTTTGTTCAGTGTTTTGCTTATTTCTTAACAGAAAGAGAGAAAGAAATGAGGTCATGCATCTGGAGGTGAGGTGTGAAAACTGATTTCACCTGGTGACCCTAGGCTTTGTGTGGCCAGACGATAACCATCTCCCACCTGTTAAACAGTTTCCTGGAGCATAAATATTGGACAAGCATTATATACAAAAAGTTTTATGTTGATTCAGCTAAACTGATTGAAAGGTCGTGGAAATTCTGTAGGAAGGAATACAATATAGATATTTTATATGCTATCGCTCTTCATGGATGTGCCAATTAAGTGAATTTCACATGACTGTTTCTGCTGAAAATTCAATAAATTTATTTTAAAAATTTTCCTGTGAATTTTTTGTTTCCAAGCTGAACTTTTCTCCCACAAGATATACCCAGTACATTTATAAGAATTTAAGCTGGCGATTCTTTATATGGCTCTTCTTAATGTAAAATCATCATTATACATTAGCAAACTACATTCTAAGTCTTTGTCTGCTTGTGTATAAAAAGTGTAACTTCTGCAAGCCGTTCTAAAGTAGTTGATACCTTTGACTAATTGAATCATTAATTATGAGAATAAAGAGAGGGGAGCACATACAAGAACTGTAATTTGTCATATACCTTCCACTACATTACACGAAATATGACAAATATTGAAATCAGTTCAAAACAGAAAGCCAGCTGTCTCATCTTTATGATTTAGTTGTTGAATGTGAGCAAGTGCGTATCACTAGGCCATCCTTAAAAAAAATTTTTTTTGCGGTAACGCGCCTCATCATTTTAGGTGTGGGTAGGTAGGTAGGCTTATTTATTTTTTTTTTTTTTGGAGACAAAAAGTCAGAATTAAATTTCGAATATATATAGGTATTAACTATGTCTTAGATTTCACTTTAAGTTACTAATCAAACAAGAAAATTAAGGCATTCTTAATGAATCCAATCTTTTATTGTTCAAATATCAGAACACATCAGTTCTTTTTTAAAAACGGCGTCTACAGGTGCAATGGGGACGTAAAAAAAATGTCAATAGGATAAAATTAGAAGATGGATATGTAAAAAAAAAAAAAAAAATTTTTTTTGAGCCCATAAAAAAAATCCAGTAGGGTGGATTTTGGTGAGTCGGTCGCGTTACCGCAAAAAAACAATTTTTTAAGGATGGCCCTATATCGCTACATTTTTAAAATTTCAAGACTACTACATAGTCATCTTGTTGATAATAACTAATTTCATTCAAGAAGTAATCGTGTGTTCACTCATCAATATTAGCCCAAAAAACTTTTCAATCAAATTAATCAGACCTTTTTTATGCTCTGAAATTCTGTATCATACTAGTCTCTTTATGACGACCATCAGAATTTGGGAAAACTTTTAGAGTTTTACAAAGTAAAAAAACAATTACTATTAAGCCAAATGACAATTTACAAACATGACAGTTGCAACAGCTAAGTTAATAGTGTGTGAATTCTATGATTTCCCCCAAAATGTAACTCTGGATTCTCCATTATTGTGCACAATGCACACTATAATTTTATTTTTGAAAAATCAAATATTTGGTTAAGTTGTTTTAGCATTATCAGAATACCACTATAAGATCGAACAGTTAATTTAGCCAGGACTTCTGTGTCTTCAAAGAAATCTAAGCGAGATCAGTGGTGATTACACAAGCTGCAGCACAACGCAGATGTTGCGCCAGCTATGGTGTCCCAGTCAGATTTGTGCATACATGCATGTTGAATCCCCATGCATTGTTTTGCTTTTACTAGAACATAATTATAAGCTTCATTTTCGGCTTTAGTAAATATTTTCTCAAAACGCCTACCTTGATCGGTGTGAGCTCTCGGTGTTGAATTTCTGTAAAATGAAGATAATGCGTTCTTGAAAAATTCGTTCCCAAAAATTTTGTTATATCGTTCACTAATTACCCCACCGATACTTTTTTTTGCTCCAAAGCGATATTTTGCATCCTATTCGCTTTCAAAGAGAAGTGTATGTGAGTCTGACTGTTTCCCACATTCAGATTGTAAAAGTAATAATAAAACTAATCCAATCTTCACTTAGTAAAAGTTGTCTCCCTGTGGCAGGTATACCAACCATCAAAAGAAAACACAGCAATGTTCTACCAAACATTTGGACACACCGTGAAAAATCATAAACATATAGCCATGAACATGCTTATCCTACATGTCACTGGATAAAATAAATATGCACAACTCAAAGATTATTTTTAGGTCAAATGACATTCAAGTTGCAAACCAGAAAGTCACAGAGGCCAGTGTGAGTCTGTGAGAATAAACCCTCCCCCCTTCAAAAAAAAACAAAAAAAAAAAACAAACAAACAAACAAAAAACAAAAACAAAAAACAAACAAACAAACAAAAAAAAAGAACGAAGGTGATGGCTGCAGGAAATTAATTTTGAAAACTGAAAAGAGTGGATTCCAATATCATGTATTCTCAGTCAATGAAGCTTTACTTTAAATTATACAGATGAATTCTGTCAATTGATCCTTCCAAAGTTTTTCTGAATATCATTCATGATATGAAAACTGCATGAAATATCTCACATTACAATTCAAACAACAATGCAGTATGAATTTACTTTATTCAATTAAAGGTATAAACACATCAAGTTGCTATTTTAAATTTACCATTTACAAAATGTTCAGATTTGGTGCCATTCAAAACTCAATACTTTTTAAAGGCTTCTAAAAAATGAATTCAGAAAAATGCCAACACAACCTGAGTTGGACCTGTTGAATATGAATCAGTTGACACAAATAAAACACTGAGTGTTATCTCCATTATCAGGTATTAACCAAAAGTACAAGTACTTGTTGTATATTTCATTTTTCACTTGGATCTTTCATCTTATATATCACAGAAAGGGTACAATAAAGTCACAGGCTAAGATTTTGACTGAGTCGTTAATGACTTTTATAATTTTTTTATCGTCGTCTTCTGTCCCTTGACCTTTCATTCCTCTCCCTGGAATTTGACTTTCTTTGTCTTGCGTTATGGCTGTCCCTTCTGCTTCGTTCCTTGGATACAGACCTTCTGTGCAGTCTCTGTCTCTGTTCTGAAGACCTTGCAGCATATCTCTGTTGACCTTCAAATGACCTTCCATCTCTTTCAGATGAAGATGACGACCTTGACCTTCTTCTGTCTTGATCTCTTGGTTTACTCCTATAAGCTGGTGACCTTGACCTCCTACCACTATTATTAACCTCTCTCCTGTCTCTTTCATTAGAACTTCGAAATCTGTCCCTGTCATTCTTTTCCTCAAAAGAGGATGATCTTCTTCTCTGTTGCTTTCTGAAGATTGGACTACGATCCCTGGATATTGATTTTCGGGAATCTCTTCTCTTTGACCTTTGGTCCTGGCCGCCTCTCTGAGGTGAACTGTTAAATGAGATACTTCTTCTCCTACGTCTGTTCTGAGATGTTTCTGGTGACCAGTTCTGTTTTCCGTGACATTTTCTCTCTGGAGAATGCCTTGATTTCGAGTCCTTGAATTGTTCACGTCTTCCTTGTTCATTATCTGTAATCAAAAGCTTAAATATCGAACATGTGTAAAACAACTACATATAATTATCTGAATGTAAAGTTACGAAGATTAATATTTACATATAATTTTTATGAATGTTGCTAATGTCATACATGTACATGGAAACAAATACGTGTACATGGAAACAAATAATATTTTCAAGGGAAGTAATCATTCACTTGCTTGAAAGATTTTTCAAAACTATGTTAATACACATACTTATTTTAATTTACATTAAAAGTTTTATTTTTATGAAAACAGGAAAAAAATCAAACTCCATTAAAAAATGTAAACAATGCATAATATGATAAATAGAATCAAAATTCGTTTTCCTAATGAATAAAATGTTGACCTGAGTCTTCAGAACTAGATGATGAACCCTTTCTTCTTCTGTGGGACTTCTTCTCTCTGTCAGAATCTGCACAAGAAATATTACTATTAAAAATGTGTACAGTTTGTAAGATGAAAGTAAAAGTTATATTACAAACTTTTTATTAAAATGTTAAATTACAAAACTTTTTTACTTTCTAGAAACATATCAATGCATTAAAAAACTGAAACATAAAGTCATAACCTCCTTTCATCTGAATATATAGAAAGGGTAATTAATCTGCCTATCTTTGAATCATTTAGGGAGATTACAACTTCTCTTTGTAATAAATTAACCTACTTCCTTTAGTAATGCATTAACCTACCTTCATCTGAGTCAGATGACTTCTTCTTGTGTTTCTTTTTCTTCTTTTTCTTGTCTTTACCAACTTTCCCTTCCTTCTTTCCAGTCTGCAGTTTATTTAATTTTCTACAAAAAAAAAAAAAGAATATACATTTTAATTGCAGCATTTCTAAATAATACAGTAGCATCAAGTTAAAGATATCTCATTTATCTCAGCCATGATAATTCATAAGTCTTGTTTCACTAATTTTTTTTTTTAATCTAAGAACAGGATCAAGATGAAATTAATATTAAAAGGGTTTCGAAATGAAGAGAGCTAACTCCAAATGAAAACAATTGCAATTTTGGTTAGAAAAGCATTCTTATCTTTTATTAAAACAAAAGGTACTGTAGATCACTAAATTTTGGTGACACCTTATTTTTGTGAGATAGTCATCGACTCTTAATTAGCAAGACATGATTTTCACGAATTGCTGTTATTCCTCTATATGAATAATGATTGAAAGAAATACATTTACATGTATATGTGAGAATGAAATTCTATGAGAACATTGTCTCGCGAAAATAAAGTTCTCACGAATAAAAAGTGATTTACAGAATATAAAGGACAGATTGTGATTTCTTAACCAGAACCTAAATAAAAAAAACTAAAATAAAGAAAATATTTCACTTATTTCTAACCAAGTGAAGAATTAAATTATTCATAGGTTTAAAATGTAAATAAATAAGGAACAACTGCCTGTTTTTGGGGGGGTCAACATGATGTTTGATTATGTCATAACTCCAATTTATATCTTTGGAATTTACAGGTATATACATGTATGCAAAGTACT